CCCCCCCCCCCCCCCCCCCCCACCCCCCTTTTTTTTTTTTTTTTTGTGGTCCCCCCCCCCGGCCCCCCCCCCCCCCCGGAGACGCTCCTCACGCGTGCCCGGGGGCCGGGGGAGCGTGCGCGCCGAGACGCAGCCCCGAATTAGAGGCGAAACAAAACGCAACTTATTCCGCTTCAAAGAGACGAGACGGCAGAAAACCCGAAGGTTTCGCGACGCCGACGTGAGGCGCGTCTCGCCGTGGACTCTTGCTGCTGTACATTGAACATAACGCGGCTTAAGAAGCAGGCTGCTGGTGTAATTCATCATCCTTACCAGGCATTAGGAAGATGCGACGTGATTGGAGGGTGGGAGGAAAAACAACGCTCTTGCACAGCTCGGTATTCAGCTGAGGACTTTCTAAAGTGTAGAGGAGGGCACAGGGGTCACGAGGTGTGTGTGTGTGTGTGTGTGTGTGTGTGTGTGAGCATTTTTTGTGTGTGTTTTTCTGCGTGTGTGTGTGTGTGTGTGTGTGTGTGTGTGCGTGTGTGTGTGTGTGTGTGTGTGTAAGAGAGAGAGAGATGGCAGCATCACCAGTCCTCCAGGGCTCAGCAGGCTAATTAATAATGAATCCCAGAGAGTCTGTGTTTGAAATGCAGATGTGCAACTGCCAGCTCTGCCTGCTCCTTCAGAGGGACCTGTCGGTTCATGTGTGTGTGTGGGGGTGGGGGGTGGGGGGATGGGTGGGTTTGTGTGCTCCACAGGGGGAAAGTATGTCGGCTGGTTGTTTAGCAGTGGCAGAGAACTTGCTCACATCCTGCACGAAACTCGCGGGGGCCATTCATTAAACATCGACCACATTTTTGACTTTTGAGCGAGATTTCTCCAGGAGGCAGCCACAGGAGGAAAGCCAATTTCATGTGGGAAGTTTTTGCAACAACTTTGGCCTCTTTTTCTTCTTCATTTGGCTTCGAGGTGCCATCGGAGGCCTCAGCTCTTCTCAAACTCGGCAGAGAAAGAGGAGGAGGAGGGTGGAGATGCTGAAGAGCACACGTCATGTTTCTCTACATTTTTTATTTTTTATTTTTTCCTCTTCAGTGATCTCTGTGCAGGATGCTCTGTGTTTGTGTGGACAGTTTGAAGTTTAACAGATGGTAAACTTTTATGTCCCTTTTTTTTGTTAAAACCAACATGGCTCCTTTCTGTGACCCTGTAACAGCACCAGCCTCTGCTGCCAGCAGCACCTGTAACACAGTGAAAGACACACACACGCACACACACACACACACACACCAGCAGTGAATATCCCTCAACTCTCAGGTGTTTCAGTTCCTCACAGATTAAAACAACTTCATTTTTCCAACATTTGGTTTTGTTTTCTGAGTGTAAAACCTGGAAAGACTCTGCGGAGACGCCTGCAACCTTTTCTCTTAAAACATTTAAAACCCCAAAATAATTTGATGCTGGAATTTGCATTGTAACTGGAACGCTAAGTGTATTACATTAAGGCTAAAAGGTGCTTTTCAACTCAATCCCAGCCTGTTTTAATAACTAATCTGGCAGTATAATTTAGGAGCTTAATTTGAGTGTCTAAACTTTATCTGTAGAGTTGTTGTTTTTTTTTTTATTTTTATGCTGCTTGATAAAATGGCTGACGTCCTTCAGGTCAAGCTAATAAAAAACTCAGCAAGCTTTATGGTGTAAAGCCTATGTAAATCATGAGAACTTTTTTAATATTATTGTATTATCACCTTATGTAATTTGTCTTTGGGTTATGAAGTATTTAAAACTTTAGTTTTTAATTCTAACTTTAAAAGGTGACAAAATTTTCAGGCAGACATTTCTCCTCGTTTGGAATATGTACGGCAAACGTCACGTTTATTAAAGATTATTTTCCTGTGGGTTTTATTTTTATGTTTTCTTACTATTTTCATTTCTTTTCATGTTCTATTTTCTATCGTGTATTTTGGCTTTTTCGTTGTATTTTATTTCTGACTGTTTTAGTTCTGCTGTCTTCATTTTAAGAGGTTTTATTTAGTTTTTCTTTGGTTTTGCTGTTTTGTCATTTCCTTTTATCTTTAATGTTCACTTACTTTTTCTGTTTTAATCAATTTTTCTGTTTTGCCTTTAATTTTTTTGTTTCTTTTAATTGTTTTTTTAAACTTTTATCCTTCTGCAAAACCCCATTTGTTTCATTCACAAACAAGCAAAACTTTTGTTTTTAAAGTAGGTAGGTAAAAAAAAAAAAGTACCTTCAGACCTAAATCCTGCTATGCTGAAGAAAATGCTCCCTGTATAAGTAATATTTTATGTATCTGGTCTTTATTAAGTAATAGCATTACTTAAACCTTCCCTCAGAAGTACGTCAAATTTTCTAACACATCATCATATAAAAGAGCAGAAAAATGGAAAATTAAAGGAAATGCCTCAAACGATAGAAGTGAAAGTTGTGCACATTCGTCTCTTCGTGACTATAAGTGACTGAAACTGGATGTGTGTAAAATCCTACGCACATCCACACACGCGTCTAAGCTCTACAAAGCCTGCAGAGCGTGGCAGTGCAGAGTAAACAAACGCAGCCCGCTCTCATACATTATACAGCCGCAGCACAGTCACTCTCTGGTCAGTCCAGCCGACCCCTCACGGCCTCGGACGGACGCACAGACTTATAGATGCACGCGCGCATAAAAAGGGAGCAGATGGGACTTTTGTGTTCGACACTTCGTTCCTCAACACTTTGAAACGACGTTTTAGAATCGGGCTAATCACAAAAACAAACAGCTTGTCACAGAGAGCGACGTGAGGCCGGGGCTCATCCTGTCTGGACATGCTGGAGCTGTCCTTTATTAGCGACGTCACGGGTTAATGGGAGTATCGATTTTTCTGTCTGGCAGCCTGCAGAACAACTTAGTTCAGACTGAGAGATGACAAAGGCGCCCCTTCTTTTTTCTTTCTTTCTTTTTCCATTTTCAAAAGAGCAGACAAAAACAAAATATCTACGTATTTTTGTTTTGTTTTTTGCTGTTTTTCCAGTTTACTCGCTGTGGGTCAGGGGGAAAAAAAAGAATAGCAATTAGAATATCCTTTGTGTCCAATGTATGTGAATAAATAAATAAATACGTGGCCTTGCTCTGTTGGCAGCATGGGGCAGATTTTAGGCTCCTTGGGGAAAAGTTTCTAGGAAAGGTCACGACACTGAAAGTGACAGGTCCCGCCCCGAGGCCCAAGGCACTCTCAATAGCAGACTAAAGCCTGATTTATCTGGGAGCCGCAGCACAGAGCTGGAAGCTGCAGGGTGGAACATCAAAACCAAAAAAAGCCAAATGGAGCACAAAACGCCCAGTCGAATTCAGACACGCTTCAATTTTTGTAATAAACAACTCATTTTAATCTTAATTCAAAAAGAAGAGGGAGGGGGAAATGATAACAAAGCTGAAACTCGGTGTGGATTCTCAGAGGAACAAACCCTGGAACCCTGGAAGTTTGTTCCTCAGAGAACAAACTTCTCAAAGGTAAACATGAGAGCAAACATTCTCATGTTTACCTTTTTTTACTATATGTGAGGTTTTCTTAAGGTCTGGGCTTAGTCATTTAAATTTCCTGACAGAATATAAAAGAGCTGCAGCCAAGAGGCAATTTAACTTGACAAATGCTAAAAAATTACTTAATAATTATGGTGAAACAATTAATCTAGAGCTCTAATTAATCTTTATCATGTTAATTGAAGTATTAATTAAAAAGCTGGTAGCATTGAGTCTCACTCTGTAAAAAGCAGAGGGTATTAAATATTAACTACTACAGTTTTTTTTTTTTTTACTTTTTAGAAAAGAATATCAGTAATAACTATGTTTCAGTCATTATAGTAACGAATCCCAACTAAAGATAGCGGTTCTATCAGCTGCTACTCTTATCCTCTAGTCTTGTTCTGAGTGTTTTATGTTTATGTTGATTTTATTACAGATGAATATGGCAATAAAATTGTTTTAAGACTTTTTTTAAGTTTAAGTTTCTGTATTGGGGCAAGAATTTGAGTTCAGGTTTAGCTAGCTTAATGACAGTTCTAATGCTAAAGCGAAACTAGCTAAAACATGAATTCTTACAGTTGTAGTAGCCATTTAACTTATTGCTGAGTTAAATCAAGCACATTAGGTTTTAAATATAATATTCAAAGATGGTTGAAATTTGACATTAACCACCGACCCATTTTGATTAGAATTAAAATAAAGTGTCAATCAGCCGTTAGCCCATTTCGTCGAGCGGTCTCCCGCGGAGAACAGTGAGGCTAATGTGTTCATTTTAGTAATGAATTCATCAAGTCAGCAACAGCTGAGAACCGTCATTAGACTTGTGGTTGAGAAAGTTTCTGCGTTGGACCGAGAATTTAAGTCTGTGTCGAGCTTTAGTCGAGTTAGCGACAGCGCTAATGCTAATGTCAAACTAGCCAGCAGTTTGGACTCCTGAAAAATAATAAAAAAAAGATTTTAAAAGTTTGTTACTTATTGAGTAACATTTAATATGGCAGTCCCAAGATACTTATTTTTTTTATATTGGTTATTTTTAAACAGGATTTTAGGAAAACAAAACAAACTACTGAAGCCGGAGGGTTCAATGTAGCGCTCTGTGGTGTGAATTAAACTGACGCACGTCCATAGTCAGCTTTAATTGGTTTTACTCAACTGTGATTTTGTTGCTTCAGAGTTGTTGCTTGATTTTATTATTATTATTATTATTATTATTATTATTTATTTGTTTTGTATTTTTCAATTACTAATACTGAAATGGGTAAAGAAAATAAAACAGAACTTAATTTTAGTCAAATTAGCTCAATAATGGCTTTTAGCTTGCACGTGAATTAATCTGTAAAGTAATTGTTTTAAAACTTGTTAGAATTTAATTTCATTTAAAAGTATTTTCACTGTTGAGCTTAGCTGAGAAATACTGATTAGAATCTGCCCAAATGAAACCGTATCCAAATTGTTCAACGCATATCGTTGCGGTTAAGCTAGCATATTTGCTGCATTAACAGATCTGATCTCGCCCCTTATTTTTAGACGAACACCCGTAGTTTACTGCTGACTGATCCGTTTATTTTCTCCCCTCCCCTCCTGCAAATAATCTGCAAACCGCCAGAGTCACAAGACAATCGTTTAAAAATTCACCCTCAGCCGCCAAACAAACACAAACAAAAAAACGTGATAAACAAGCGCGAACAAGCGTCTCCACAAAGGCGAAATTAAAGAAATGATAGCTCATTAGTTTCAGTTGTTCGCCAGTAATGTGCACCTTGTATGGAGAGGAGGCTGCAAGTGTAGCGGGGCTGGCTCGGGTTATCTGTGAATGGGCCCTTTATTGGAGGCGCGGAGCGGGGATTTGCCTTTTATTCGCCTCGCTATGGAAACGCGCTCGGCGGCAGAAAAATGTCGACGCGAATAAAAGGGAGTCGGCACAAGGAGCGTTTCTAGAGAAGCATCTGTTACACTTAGAAACTTAGACTATGGAGAGCGAAACAACCCCCCTCTCTCTGTTTCTCTCTCTCCCTCTCACTCTTTCTCTCTTAATCCAAGTCCTGCTTTATGCGCCACAGCAAACAGGCAAATTTATATTTGGGAAATAAAAGACGCAAATATGTGATCCCTTCCCTAATTCTTCCGTATTGAAATGTCTAATTTGAGCAGTTTAGATCAAATGATTTAGTGCGTGTATATTTTAATCCATTTTCAAAACTCAATTCGCTGAGGCGTGTCATTTCATATGACATGAAAATGTGGGTCCCTTATTGAGAAACTACTGCCATCAGTTGTGGTGCAAGTTTACAACAAACGCCGCCACTTCTTCTTCTTCTCCTCCTCCTCCTCCTTTTTTTTCATCCCATAACGATCCAAACGAAGCAACCCGGCTCACCAAATCTAGGCCAGTGGAACAACATCGCCTTTCACATCAAATATTCATCCACTTTTAGCCGAAATTCAAAGAGAATGGCTATAAAGAATTCAGGCGCAGCTCCACGCAGGAATTAGACCAGGAACAAAACAAACATATCCATACGATTTTCTTTCTTTCTTTTCTTTTTAATTTCCCACCCATCTACTTGGACAAGGTTACAGGCTGCATTATTCATCCTCCTCTCTCCCTCTGTCACTCCGAGGCCCCGTCCTCCCTCCAGCGGGCCGGCCTGCACTCCCGCCCCGGTCAGCCAGCTCACCTGCTCCGGCCTCTTCTCTCTCCCCCCCCCCGTCTCAGCCTCGGTTCTCCGTCTGCGCAGCTTGTGCCTCTCTCCGCTCTTCTAATGACTTTCTGGTGGCTGCTGCAGCCTTCTTTTTATTTCTTCTAAATGTATGAAAATGTATGCAAATTTAAATCAAGCTTAAACCTGGGAGCTGGAGCAATATGTTTAATGGAATTTCAAACCAATAAGGGGGACGGTGACGCAGCCCGCTAATGGCAAATACAATCACGCAGCTGTATTAGCTGGGAGATATGCAAAAGTGATGCATAATAACTGCGAGGGACTTAGCTTAAGTGACTACAACTTGCTGAATTCTTTACGTGGCGATCGCTGAATGCAGCTACGGAACTGTCTTTTATCGTGATAAGATTTTTTATTATTATTATTTATCGTTGTCACTATAAATTCCGATTCTGTTTTTTTTTTTTTTTTTTAACTCGCTGCAGTTTTTGTCGGGATTGTTTTCAATGTCTTCAATGAGAGCATCAACAAATATCAATACAATTTGAAACTAGATTAAATGCTGTTACTGATCGGAGCTCAGTGATATAAATCTCTTCTTTATGTGACTGGTGTCCTACAGAATTGCTTCACAAATGGATGTTTTTCAGGAACAGTGTTTGTGCTCGTGGGGCTTTGATTGCTACGTGGAACCGCTTTTCACTGTAATTACAGCTGCAAGTCTTCTGGGGGTACACCGGCTTTTAGAGACCGACATTAATGCCCAGTCTCCTCTGCAACGCGGCCATCATGTTGGATGAAAAGTGTCTGTAAACATACATATTTGAAAGATTGCCAAGGAGTCTTAAATTGGATCTCAACCAGGATTTAACTGGTCCCTTCTAACGGATTCATATTTTTTTTTTGATCCAAACTGGCAGCTTTGGCTGTATTTAAGAAATTTGTGCTGCTGGAAGGTGAATATTAGCCACAGTGTCGAGTCTGCACAGACGATTTTGTGCTCGACTCCATTTGTTTCCCCTTCAGCTCTCACTGTCCCTAAGGAAGAACAGCCTCCCCACAGCATGATGCCACTACCACCATGTTTTACAGTCAGGACGCTTTGATCAGGATGACTCTTCTGACAGATTCTGTGGATCTCTGAATCTTCTTCAGAGTTTTATCATTGACTGCCTTTTTGATCAATACTCTTATTTGTCTGTCAGCACGCTAGACGAGCAATAGTGTCCTACCTTTTCCTTTCACTCTTTAAAATAAGGGTCAAGTTATTAACCCAATTCTGCTTTTGCCTTCATCGTCACATTGTGTACAAAAGGTGACTTTTATTCAGTGGTGTTAGAGTAAAAGGGGCTGTATTAAAAAAAAATCTACACTCCACACTTTGTATGTTTTTATTTGCAAAAACGAGCAGAAATGATTTAATATTCTCGAGAAATTAAATCTCATGAACATTGAGGTTTAATTTCTCAATATTAAATTGAGAATTATATTTTATGCAATTTGCTTTTGTAGTTTTTCCTCTCGCCAAAGTGACAAATGTTTTCAAATGACCTGTGCGTAAAAGAATGCGTAAAAACGCGACTTTCCGCCAAACACCTGACCATTCCTTTCCCTTGTTAAGTTAATAATTACCAGTGAGAACTGCTCTTAGTTTGATTGTATCCCTCTAATTTAAGTGCTGGCACGTCTAAGAAATGCCGTTGCGCTTTAATCCCTTTCTTCGCACGCGCTCAAGGGTGACGGGAGCAGCAATAAAGGCGCGCGTAAATCAGTTGGAAACTTTAATTAATAAACAGGAACTGCGCTCCACGCTCCCATCACTCCGCAGCCAGACCCAGTCGACCGGTGCTGTACGACACCACTTCCGGTCCGACTGCCTCCGTGGTAACCCGAGCTCCGCTTCCAGAAGGCGGAGGCTCGGCGAGTCTCGCGGCACGTCATTGGCGGAGGCGCGTCGGCCGTCGGCGCGTGAGTGGCGGCGGAAGCTGTCAGTCAGTGCCAAGCTGCAGACGGGGCTCCGGAGAGAGGGAGATGTCAGAGGCTGAACCGCTGCCTCCATTCAGTAGCATTAGTGGGGTTCAGCAGCCAGCATGGCCACAGCTGCCTCCAGCCCCTACACCCTGCTCAGCCCCAGCTCCATGATCCACGCGGACAGCCAGGCCATGCAGCCCGCGAGCCCCTACAGAGGCCACCAGAAGCTGCTCCAAAGCGACTACCTGCAGAGCGTCCAGAGCAACGGGCACCCCCTCGGGCACCAGTGGGCGAGCAGCCTGTCGGAGGGCAGCCCCTGGTCCTCTATGGAGCAGCAGGACGTGAAGCCCGGCAGAGAGGACCTGCAGCTCGGCATCATCCATCACCGCTCCCCGCACGTCGCGCATCACTCCCCTCACCACAACAACCACGGGAGCCACCCGGGAGCCTGGGGCACCCCGGTGTCCCACAACTCCTCCATCACCAGCGGGCAGCAGATCAACATCTACTCCCAGACGGGCTTCACCGTCAACGGCATGCTGGACCACGGCGGCCTCACGCCGCCGGCCAACCCGCAGGGCCAAGGCATGCACCCGGGCCTCAGGGACACGCTCAGCCCCGAGCACAGCGACCTCGGCGGGCACCACTGCCACGACCACTCGGACGAGGAGACGCCGACCTCGGACGAGCTGGAGCACTTTGCCAAGCAGTTCAAGCAGAGGAGAATCAAGCTGGGCTTCACCCAGGCGGACGTGGGTCTGGCCCTGGGCACGCTCTACGGCAACGTGTTTTCCCAGACCACCATCTGCAGGTTCGAGGCCCTGCAGTTGAGCTTTAAGAACATGTGCAAACTAAAGCCGCTGCTGAACAAGTGGCTGGAGGAGGCGGACTCGTCCACTGGCAGCTCCAGCAGCATAGACAAGATCGCAGCTCAGGGGAGGAAGAGGAAGAAGAGGACGTCCATCGAGGTGAGCGTGAAGGGGGTCCTGGAGACCCACTTCCTCAAGTGTCCCAAGCCGTCCGCGCAGGAGATCACGTCGCTCGCGGACTCGCTGCAGCTGGAGAAGGAGGTGGTGCGCGTGTGGTTCTGCAACCGGAGGCAAAAGGAGAAACGGATGACGCCGCCCGGGGAGCCGCCGCCGCCGCCGCACGAGGGACCCTATTCGCACAGCGGGAGCGCGGGGGACACGTCCTCGTGCCACGATCTCTGACCGCGCGAGGAGGAGGAGGAGGACCCGCCCGGTTATGGACTCTGGAGCGAAGGGACGCGAGCGCGCTACAGGGTGGTGGACCGGCTTCCGGCTTCCAGCCTCCGCCGCCTGTCCCGGTACAGACTCCCGCCGCTGCCGCCAGCACTGAATCCCAATAAGAAGAACAGAGAAACCCGCTCAAGCCTTCGTCCTTTTTTTCTAACTGTCACGAGGGCATTATTACATCACATTTCAGATCCTTTTGGAGCTTCGCTTTGTTTCTTTCTCTTTTTTTTTTCCTCCATCACGGATATAAATACAAAAATGTGCCTAATTATATACCTGCCAGCGCCTTTGGTTTGTGTCACCATTTCCCATCAGCTCTATAATAATTGCTAACATGGGAACTGATGTCTTATTTTTGACTTGTTGGGGTCCCCCCCGCCCCCCTCCACACACACACACACACGCACACACACTCACACACATGCTGTTTTATTTGGATGATCAGTGGCTTCAAACTAAAAAACAAACAAAAAAATCAGTTAACGGTTTTTTTTGGTTGCTATTTCTGTTTTACAACAAATCTGTAATTATGTTGTTGTTTTTTTTCCCATATGCAAACATTATATCAGATGTAGTGATTCTGCAACATAAAAGCACTTGGAGGGTTATTACTTTCTTAATTTTCGCCTCTCCCTCACATTCTCGCCTATTTTTGAATTCGTTGTTTTGTTTTTGTTTTTGTTTTCCTTTATTCTGACCATAGAAACTGTGTGTGGACTCTGGAGACAAACAGAGCCGGGGATAATTCAGAAACATGGGTGTGGGGGTTTGGGGAGGGGGCTTAACGACGCTGTACACCTGCCTATAATTTTACTGTACGATCAGTATCCCAAAATTTTTTATAATCTCCAATACTCCTGTTATACTCGGTTCAGTATTTTTCTCCGATATTGTACAGTTTTATATATATATATATATCTACACTTTTCGAGTCATTAATTTAAGCAAATTATTGTTAGTTTATTCATGCACTTAATTAGCAATGTTTTTGAAAGAAATAATAAAAAAAGCAAAGAAAGAAGAAGAAGAAGAAAAAACAGAAAATCACCCAGCCTATTTTCAGTAAGATGGAACAGTTTGGGCGCTTTTATTCCAAAATTTCGATGACAGCTCGAGTAATTATTTATTTTCAGTATAAAGCTTGTATTATGTTTTGAAATAAACAATGTATGTTGTAATAAACAATTTCCTGGTACAATTGTTTACTGTCTAAAGGAAAATTGGATGTCTAAGGAATTATTATTATTATTATTATTATTATTATTATTATTATTATTAAAGGTTGCGTCGCAGCTCATGCCCCCATTGCTTCCCAGGATAAGTTTAAAAATAATAACTTATCATCTTAATTCTCATCATGTAATAATCACGAGGCTACATTTATATTTACGGGCAACAATCAGAGGAAAATAATTGCTTTGCTCACAGAACGCTGTCAACTTTTACTATTTATTGTTGTATTTATGTATTATTTCGAGGATAAAATCAAAGTGGCTTTTTCTATTTTTAAACCATGAAATTCAGCATTTATTCCGAATTTAAAACCTGTTACAGAAATATTATTATTACTATTATTATTATTATTATTTTTATTTTATTGCTAGGAGTAGTTTTTTTATTTATAGTATGCAATCAGTACAGGAGTATCTTTACGATTTTTTTTATTATTTAGAACGTCACAGATGTTGGAAAAAAAATTATCATCCTCATTATTATTATTATTATTATTATTATTATTATTGCTGCTGTTTGATTATGAAAAAAACTGGGGTTTTTTCTATTTAAAAAAATATTTGATCAAATATAATATAATTAAATATTTTTTATTAGAAAGTAATATATAATAATAAAAGCAATTAAGCAAAAAGTACGCCACAAAAATAACAAAAATTTCAAATGAAACAAATCAACTTGTTCCCAAATGATGTGGTCATTGTGATCTAATCCAGCTCAATCCAGCCCACATGTTCCTACACACACACACACACACACACACACACACACACACACCCTTTAAGCCTCCTGCGTGTGAAAAGGTAAAGCCTTCACGTGACGAACAGCTGTAACATTTCGCGTGGGACCTCGGTCTGTCACAGCCAAATCTCACTCGCTCCTCTCTTACAGCTCCGCTGAAACCTTATTGTCCAGGCCCTCTGCCCTGCTCCATCAGACATGCGTGATTTATCGCCCGGGCTGCTGGGCCTGACAGCAAAAAACACAATGACACACACACACACACACACACACACACACACACACACACACACACACACACACACACACACAATCAGAAGCAGATGAATCTCATTTCAAAGACTACAGCTGTGTATATAATTGGCCGTGCAAGGGCGAAACAGACAAGACAAAAAAAAAAATCTCCATAAATAGATAAATAAATAAAGATGCCGCGACTAAAAATAATTCAGGGATGGCGTTGGGAAGAAGAAGTCGACCCCAGTGGATGCGGGACTGTTTAAATCATTCAAAAATAGATCCGGAGGGGAGGAGATGAGGAGGAGGTGAAAGAAGGAGAGGAGAGGAGAGGAGAGGAGAGGAGGAAAGGCGGAAGGGTGCTAGGCCTTGCCTTGAAATGGAGAGCCTGACTGGAATACTAATGCGTCTGAATTTATGCATCTCCTCAGTCTGCAGCCCTGAGAGGAGAGGAGAGGAGAGGGGGCGGGGGAGATAGAGAGAGAGAAAGAGAGAGAGAAAGAGAAAGAGGGTGAGGGTGGAGGTGAAAGAGGGCGGTTATGTAGAAGAAGAGAAAAGTAAAAGCATGGCTGATTGATTCCATCCATCTGTTTTAGTTTGAAATAATCCTGGATTTCTCGGGGTGTGGACGGAGGAGGAGGCGAACCCGAAACAACATGACCCTGGAAGAGGGAGAGGAGGCAGAACCGAAGAAACGAGCAGCACCGAGCCAAGGTTCCGGGGGGCGGGGTGGACCGCAGCGTCCCTTCAGCCTCTTCCAGAAAGAGAAATAAAAAGAATAATCGAAACATTATTATTATTATTATTTTAAAAAGTAACCAGTCCGCTCTGTGTGAATTATTCACCAGTTGGGTTGAGAGAGAGAGAGAAAAAAGATTGACTCGAGAGATCCGTGAGGAAAACAAGAAACAGGTGAAAGATGAAAGCACACTTCAGAGGCGTCAAACGATAACCTTCAGCTAATTTTTCTGTTTTTTTTTGTTTGTTTGTTTGTTTGTCAAAACTCTTTAAGTTGTGTGACTCAGCGCTGCTCTCCAGCAGATAATTGAGCCTGAATCAGATGTTAAGTGACTGATGATCAGACAAGGACAGGAGCAGCAGAGAGCCAGAGGTGTTTACGGTGATTACATCTTATTGAAGCGCGCTGCTGCGAATGTTTATATCTATATAAATGTTCACAAATGTCCTTTTTTCCCCGAAAACGTTTGACCTACAGCTTTTTTTTCTTTTCCTTTTTTTTAGATGTAACAGGATCTCAAGGATGGCTAGCGGGACACACGGCTAACTGTGATGTTTACAGTGAAATTGGCAAAGTAGGGGGTCAGAGAAAGGACAAAACAACGTCCTGTTTCTATTTAATTACACGGGAGAGAGAAGCGCGGAGCTGGAGTCAGTTTGCTGAAGAGCAGCAGCTCCAAAAAATAAAATAAAAACTAACTGGGAGAGACAGCTGGGAGGTTGTTAGAGAAAACTGTCTGTGATCAGCCAGTCATAAATGTGTTTTCATACACATTCATATGCGCTCTCTCAAAACCAAATGTGCTTCAGCTGAGTTCTCTTCTATATTAGTGTGAAACATTACTTATGTACAAAAAAAGAGCAACAAAGCAAAACGACAAACTATAAAGAATTAAATAGGATGCACTGATTACCAAAAGGCACAAAAAAAGCAAAGATAAATTCAAACTTGTCTATTTCTATTTGTCGCTTCTACAGACGACTAGAGGCATAAGTGGACTGCTTAGGGTCTCCAGGCCACCAGGGGGCTCCCAAGAGCTTCTAACTCCTTATAGATGTAAAAAAAAAAAAACACACACACACAAAAAAAAAAACAACAACTTTATATTAGTTGTGAGCTTTTTCTACTAGCGTACTTTGCGTACTCTGTGAGCTGTGAGGATTGTTTGTACAAACAGTCGAGATTTCATAGTCAGGTGTACTGTTTTTTGACATTTCTCGTGACAATTCACTTCATTTCCCACAATCCAAATGGACGTGTTTCTTGTCCATCAGGGCAGCCGCCGCCCACCTGTCAGCGCAGGACAGAGAGCGGCAGTCGGGCTGTGAGTCCACGCTGCTGGTTTACCAGCTTTCAGCCGCGGTGTTCTCCAGCATACTAAACATTTCGGTGTGAACTCGTTTCCTACCGAGCGGTTTACTGTGTGACACCATGTTCTTATACCAGTTCCTAACACTTCTACTTCGAGCCGTCATGTTCACTAGAGATGTGTGATATTATACTGCATATTTTGGTATTGATCAAGTAAATATAGGAAGCATATGACCAGTACCGATACCAATACTGATACTTTGTACACAAGTTTGATATGTTATAAAACTTCTGACCTTTATGTGTTTTTCTGGGTTTTTTTTTTCCTTTGAATTATTTTTGTTCTATTCTTGGACAGAATTTAGGCTAAATATCTATCTAGAAAATACTTTAAAGAAGTATTATCATGATTTTGAACAATTTGAAAGATAGTTCCTAGAGAAATCTAAAGTTTTACAGCATTTTGTTTTCTTTTTCCAAATCTTTCCAATACGCTGAGCTGCTTTATTTATTCTTGTACAAAAACCGTTTCATGCACCGAAGAATAAATCTTACATCATGCGTTAGGAAAACAACCCGTCTGGAGAAGCTCAGCTGTTACACATCAAACAGCATCGGCTCTCCAAGCTCAACTCCAGAAATCAGAGCACTTTCAATGGAGCGAGGAGGCGAAGCCAGTGAAGAAATCCCTGTTTTCCCTCAATTCAACCGGAGTGAAAACATGACGCCTTCAATTTAATTGGGAGTGATGGATTTATTTCAAAATACATATTTAAACAGTGCGAATGCAACAGTTTCGGTGGAGCCCTTCACACTTGTTGCAAAGCGTGATGAGTTCACTTATTCAGCACGTTTTCAAACCGCCTGTGCTCTTTATTTTACTTCTTCTATTTCTTTTTTAATCATGCAGAAACTGAAATCAGCTTCATGGTGAAAAACACCAAACTTGGTAACTGACCTGAGGGCAGAGGGGCTGTTTCTTTGTATTTATAATGCATCAGCAGAGACTTGGCTCTGAATCAAGTGAAGCTGAAAAGACAGGAGGAAAGGAAGCAGCGTGAATGAGAGGAGGGAGAAAGAGAAACAGAGAGAGAGAGAGAGAGAGAGAGAGAGAGCTGTGCAACAGGATTAATGGTGAAGCTGAAAATCAATCTCATGTCCTCGGTTGGCATCTTTTGACGGGGGCAGAGCAGCTGTAAGGTCAGAGAAATTCAGAGGAGAGCAGATAGAAATCAAACCGAAACAGACAGATGAATAAAATCGGCAGAAATCGGTTCCTAAGTGCAAGTTTTCATGTCCTTCGTGGAGTTTCTCTGACTCTGCAGCTTCACAGCTCTGTAAAAAGTATTCACACCCTTGAATTTTTTCAGATTTTATCACCTCACCAACTGCTATGCACCTTATTGGGATCGTATATAATAAAAAAAAAGTGAAAGTAATTCATAAATGTGAAGTGGAAGGGTAGAGATTTACTTTATTTTTATTTGTTTACAAGCCTGTAAAAACTTTTATTTTCGCCCGTTCTTCTTTCCAGATTGAATGGAGAGCATCTTTGGATCTTCTTTTTTCTTTCTTTCTTTTTTTTTGTTCCAAATTCCCAATTTAATCAGGACTTGGACTAGGACATTGCAGAGTTTTCCTACAGGATAAACATGTGTCGTCTTCTTGTCAACTATGGCCAGCTTTCCTGTCCCCATACCATAATGCTGCCACCACCTTGTTTCAACATATGGATGGTGTGGCAGTTTTAGCTTCACCCGGTTCAAAATCTATTTTAATTACTAGCTTATTTGCACCTTTTAACATATTTCTAATTTTGTTTGAAAAAAAAAAAGTTTGATAAATTGGATTTATTAAACATGACTTAAATCATCACAATTTAGCGCCTTTAAATTGGGCCTCTGTCTCTTTAAGAAGCTCCTGCTCTGTCCTGCACTCCACCTTCAGCACGTCTTCAGAACAATATTCCTCCGCTAAGCCTTTTATTTCTTCTTAGGATCTCAGCAGATACGCAGTTCCACCAGGTGTTTGCTAATTGCTGCCGCCGCTAGTCTGGAGGATAATGTTTGTGTAAAAGGCTCCTGGTTTCACCATGGTGGCGTTTGGTGAAACCAGTTGGTTTTTATAAACCAGAATGGCTGGAACGGAAAACTAAAAGGTTTCTCAACATTCCAGGTATGTTTCTGATGAGGGAATAGAATATAACATGATGTAACGCTCGATAAAGTTTACATGACACTGCCCCTTTAAGGGCTATGAAGGCTTTTGCGAGACTCTGTATTTCTTACACTTTCCAGTGACGCATAAAACTTGCAAACTTGTCAGAAGAAGAAGAAGTGTCTCTGTAGTCTCATCTCTTCTCTCTGCTGTGGCCGTGGCAATCACTGTAACTGTTAAAGCCACGCGCCGCCGCCTCTGTCGTGCGCGCGCATCGTGATTGCTCCATTAAGGAACGCGAAGTGACAACTACAGTTTGTTCTTCTGAGGCTGCGCGCTCCGCTCTGATGTTAGGTGGACACACACGGCTGCACGCCCGCAAATTAAGAGGTCGTATATCTAACTAGCGTGTTTAGAGGAGATCTGTCGCCCAGACTGCCAGCACGTCTGTTAACCCCCCAACACACACACACACACACACACACACACACACACACACACACACACACACACACACGCACACACGCACCTACACACACACGAAGAAGAGGGAGACGGGTCTGTTTGTTGTGGCTCAGAGTGAGTAAATCACTGTGTCTGATATCTTCATTTGAAACAGAGGGCTGATCACTGCTCGTCCTGCTTGTTCCACATGAACTCATTATCACACGCGCTCACTCCATTAATTTCCTCGCTTTTATTAGCAACACACACACACGCCAAACGCACGCGCACACACGCATTCACACAGTGTGGACCGATGACAAGCGCTGCCTCTACCTCATCTGACAGCTAATGGCTTCATTAGGAGGCGCGTGTTAATTGGCTGACTTTGGGGAGAGGCTTGTTAATGAGGATAAATAGATTCACACCTGAGCGAAGTGTGTGTGTGTGTGTGTGTGTCCAGTCTCAACAGCAGTGTGTGGGAACTCTGAGTGATGAGCAAACACGAACCCTTTGCAAATATGAGTGCGACACTTTGTTACGCAGTCGGGCTTTGTCCGAGGACGCGGAGATGGTGTGTGTGTGTGTGTGTGTGTGTGTGTGTGTTTTTTATGCTTGCCAGGCAGACTTATTAGGCGAGTGCTTGATTAGCACCAGGAGGCCAAAACAAAGAGCAGTATGTCAAAGCAATTAGCCCCACTGTTTACCTCTCAGCTCCTGGGCTGACTGCGAAATGCATCTCATCCAGGAGAAAGAAGAAGAAGAAGAAAGGAAGAAGGGGGGCGGAAGGGTACAACAGCTGCTCTCCGGGCCGGAGTGTGTGTCGGTGTGTTTGCACACTGATGGGAACAGTCCGTCAATCCATCTGCTCTCCTTGCCCAACCACATTCTCGTCCTCTGCTGTCTGGATGTGACAGCTCTGATACACACACACCGGTGCTTTGGGGAGCCATTGTTTAGAGGAGGCGCAGATTCTCATGGGGGTCGCACAAAGCAGGGTGTGTGTGTGTGTGTGTGTGTGTGTGTGTGTGTGTAACGGGGACACTGGTCAGACAAAATGGAAGCAGGCGAGACCGATCATTTGCATAAGGGTAAAGAAGAGGCCCGGGACATGCTGTGTTCAGCTGGGACTCACCATGAACTGGGCGGCAGCACCATCTGGTGGTGGCTGCGGTTACTGCAGGTTGCATCTGCAACAGGAACAGGAAACAGAAAGAGAGGAAAGAACAGCAACGGAAAGAGGGTGTGGAATGGAGATATATATATATAAATAAATAAAAGTGTGAGAAAGTCAATGATGCAAGAATAAAGTTGTAGTCTTGTGAGAATAAAGTCATAATACTCTATAGACTTTATTCTGGTAATATTGCAACTTCAGTCTTGAATTATTACAACTTTATTCCCATATGAGTTTATTTTCATAATATTACAACTTTATTCTGAATTTATTCTTGTAATTTTATTTTATTTTATTAATTAGTAATACTCTGTCATAACTTGAAACAGCTGACTGACTTGGTAGTGTGAGATTTATCACAGGCCACACACTTCACTGCAACAACAACAACAAAAAAAAACTAAAAAAAGATTTCAAAAGGGCACTTTTTGTCCTTGGGTCAAGCAGCCAGGTGCTCTAGTGCCACCTAGTGTTCATCTGTGACACCTTGGTGCTCACACTTTTTTTTCTTTACCCAAAGTAAAAAAAAAAGAACTCTAAAGCAAATTGTGATAAAATTTGAACATATATTTGTATTGGACATATCTAAATTCTAAAATTATTTTTTAAGAGCTGTCCACTGCTCCAGCTTAAGTAAAGCAACAGTGAGCAACAAGCAGGTGAAGCATCCAGCAGCCAAACCTTTCCCTCAGGAACAAGCAACATACGAGCTAAATGGAGACTGGAAACTATTATTTCATTGGAAATCATAAAAGCTGCCCAGAAATGATTCCCCTTTCCTTCACTAGAATAAACTCAGAGACCTGTGAGTATTTTCCTCAACTTTCAAGGTCCACTGTTTGTCAAACATTTTATTTGCCCAGGACTTTGGCATTATTGATTCTGCTGCAGATGTCCATGTAAAATATTTGCAAAGCTCGCAAAATGTAAAGTTTATCCCAAAAAACCCCATTAATATCTGTGTTTTTAATGACATTAACACAACTTTATTTGACCCTTCTATGCAGGCAGCATTTAAGTGTCAGTTTTCTTGAGGTGAATGAACATCAGCTTGGGAAATTTATTGCAGCTGCTTTCCGTTTCCTACAAGTCGGACCAGAGATTCTCAGATAAACTGAATTTTGACCCACTCTAATAAAAAGTATAGATTAAGTAATTCATCTTTTCTTACAGGCCAGACTCTGTTCCTCCAGTCTCTGAAACCTTGATTTTCAGATTAAATAAGGCGCTTGCTTTTACCCTGGAAGTAAAGAGGACTTTAGTCCACAGATCAACAGGGCAGCACTTCTTCTCCTTCCCAAAGTGAGACGCTTCTGGTGTCTGTTTCAGAAACATCTCATCAGTCAAGTCAGCATAGAGCTCATAATGTCACATTTAATTGCTTTTAATATTCGAAATTATGGTCTAAACTAAATTCTGGATATTCCTTAAATCAAAGCCTGCAAAATATGATTGGAATCACATCATTTAAAGGGGATGTAGTATATAAAAATGTACTTTTATAAGCTTTATGTCATGT